ATGTATGAGCTTAAAAGTAGTTAGAAGCAGGATTCAAATCTTTCCACTAATCTTAACCCAAATATAATCGAATAAAAGAAACACCCTTTCATTACGCAAATTCGTTAAGAGCACTAGAACATAATATTGCATAACTTTATGATATTGCAGAAAGCCCGCTTTATAAATAATATTCGCCAAAGTGTTTATGTAGACATACTTTCTTATTCCTTTTTTCTTCTCTCCTTCTATTTATCTTTTCGCGTTACAAATATAGCGACGTCTTTTGAAAATATACAGATCGGTCGGCCTATTAATAAAGCGATTCTTTATTATTTTTGGACGTGGCCCGATGCAAAAGTGATATGAAACAGGTCGCGAAAAACTGTAATCAATTTTCACATCAGCTCAAAGTCCGGAATATTTTTGTCGCTATGTGCGGAAATAACGATCGTATTCTTCCTTTCGCCCCTATCCAATTCATGGAATGCAATTTAAATGGCTCAATTGGAAGGCAGGGGGAGGGGTAGCGACTTCGACGACCCGGAAGTAGGTCTGTCTTGACGTCAGTGGTGACCCCGTTACCAAGGGATGTAACCTATTTTCAGCGACGGATGGAATTGCTTAAATCTAATTTAATTCCTGAATTAAATCATCCCGAGGGTTGATCTTCAGCCGGCGAGGCAATTAAACGGAAAATCACTTCGCCGTCGAAATTACTTGAAAATTTAATTAAGTGGTCCATTTTTTGTTTCCTATTGAATTGCAGGTACTTTCGTGAATGTGGTGTAAAAACACCTGCCATGTCGTGAAATGATTGAAGATCCTATAAGTGTAGGCTGTTAATGTGTTTTGAAAGACTCGTCGAAATGCGGTATTACGTGGAGGAATTGAAGAGGTGTATAGCAAATTGGAATTGAGTTTTGAAAGTCTTTGTCACGTGGGAAATAACAGAAACTTCATAGCCTACACGAATTTCATATATATGTAATTAATCATCTTCATTTCCAACTGTGACATTTTGCTGGTTTCATTAGCCAAAATGTTAATGTTCCTAAATTAAGGGTGCAGTTTCTCACGAAACTGAATAGTTTGAATGAATACGAAAATCCATAAATCCTTTGGCTTTTGGTAGCCAATAAGAGGACTGCGTCCTGGTTTAATTCAGAATGCTCCACATGAATGGGGTCGGAACGTCTAGAGCAGCGGGGGTATAAAAACTAGGACGCTCTGGGTTTAATCAATGAACGACCTAGTTACACCCAATTCATTCTGATTCCGGGGTGTAACGTAGCCGCGCGCAATTATATTACAACAGACCGGAATAGAAAATAATAGGACGAAAGAATGTGATACTACGTTATAAAAAAAAATGGAAAGTTTTCTTACCTTGCTAACGAGCATATCGGTTTCGTCAAAATGGCGGCCAAACATTTTAGGTGATTCTCCAGGAATCGGTTCAATTTTAATACAAACCTCCATTCCTTTCCTGGCGGTCTCGACATTCTTGTGGTTGTTTTCGATACTTGTTACAAAGCCCAATTCAACAAACTGCAAAAGAAACGCAACAACAATTAATTTCAAGTACAAATTGTTAATTGATAACGGTGTACCTCTTTGCTCGGGACGCAGATCGGTGTTCCTTCCTTCACGATACCTGCTTCAATCATGACGCCCATGACGATGGGATCACGGGAATTGAAGATGAACTGTGGCAAGATCTTCAATTTGCATGGGAACACGGCGATGTGTTTGAACTCTTCGCGTTTCTTCTGCTTGAGTTCTTCGCGATACGACATGAACTTATCAAAGAGATGGTAAATAATGTCGGCTTGGAAGATTTTCACACCCGAGGTGTCGGCCAACTCCTGAGCGTCACGTTCAATCTTCACATCAAAGGCCAAAATTGTTGCGTATCTGAATAAGAAAACACGGAGAGGACATATTACAAGAAGATAGGGGCTCTTAAATTCCGTTGCATTGCTTCTAAGTATAATTCTAAATAGGTCATTCGAAACTAAACAAGCCATACTTGTGTATAGACTCAAACAGACATATGTGTTTATACATTAGACGAATTTGCTCGGTTTATTTGTATTTGATATCTATTTGCGGCTACTGGTATTTTTTTTCTCACGCACACATTCTGATACACAGCTTCAACATGGGCAGAAGTAGCACCAGCTTGCCGCATAAAATCCTAAATAAACACTCTAAATATTTCTTATAATATATTATAAGACGATTGAGTTATGCATCAAATGTTTAAAATTACACGTGATAAACATGAAAGATCATTACGCAACTATATTAGTAGAAAATATAGATTTTTTTATAAATAATTTCATGACTAAATGTCAAATATATGATTATACTGATAAATTGTACTTACTGGCTATCGTGCTCTAGCATAGCTGAAGCCTTCGTTACATCTTTCTTCACTACCGGACCAATCCTGATTCCAGAATACTGAAAAAAAATAATAAAGAAATACTTTTAAAAAAATTTCTTCATTTACATTTTTGTATGGAAGCAATTTATTACATGTTGTAGTTAGAAATTGAGTCAATATCCCCATAGATGAGTTAAATTTATTAACACACATCAAACAAAATATTTGTTAATGGAGGAGTATAATCATCATTGATATTTTTAAATTGTGAAATAACAATGACAGATGTATATAATTATACAATATAATAATCCACAGGAAATTAGCTAGATTTATTACATATACCGTATTTCATACTAAACTAAATTTAAGATTTAACAAAAAGTATAGAAATAAGTCGGCATATCAAATTCAATACGAGTTCCTAACTAAGGAAGTTGTTATTGATTTCAAGAAATGTCCATGTTCACAAATAATTGCTATTATCTCGCGATGTAACATGTTTATATAAATTAAAGTATGAACAGATGTGGAAGAATTGTGTGGGTAATGTTTAAATAAAGTAATGAAGTAGTCTGAATAAAGCAAAGGCATCAATGGATAAAGCCTCTCTATCTTATTTATGTTGTGGGCAAATGGTGTTACGATTCGGAAATTGGATTATTTTGTGGACGGGTGTATGTGTACACACAAATATAGCAAATGTATATAGGTATAGTGTAGTGTAAACGTATTTGGAGTCTGATGTGTGGTTGTTGTCGCCCACCGTTGCACATATATATTTTTTTTTTGGGTGTTATGTTCAGGTCGGTTAATGAGTACGTGCCGTGCCATGAAATCGGTAGAAGGCGGTCGGCTGGGTCGCAGTATCGACTCGGATCGGAACATCTCGGGTCGGATCTGGTTGGTACATGCACCATACCACCGGATACCGGTGGGTGTAGCCGTCCGCCGCCTTCCCAGAAAGAGCCCATGCCCACGCTACCGACTATCTAATCACTGCATAATAACATACGACCTACTGCTACATGACACACACACACACATACAAGAACAGCATGTACTTTGCTCACGAATGCTGCCGACGTCGGGCGTGACCGTATTTTGCACTTTTCTTAATAGCAAATAGCATTTCTTTCTGTAACTCTCACTAAATAAATTCCAGGCGTGAACAGCCGCGACGTTAAATGAAACAGACATATAGCAACTATCGTACATTTGAGAGAGATTAATTGGGATTTGCATGATTGTTCAATCTGTGAAATTGGAAAGCTCTCTGCTATAATCTGAGATTTATGCAATTGCTAATCGAATTTTCTCACAACTGTAATCAGTTATTGTTAAAACTTTCAAGAGAAACTTTGTGGAAAATAAAAAATTTGCATTTCGCTACGATTAATATTACAATACACCATAATACTTAATATTACAACAGTATTTTATATACTTCATTCCAATTACGAAAAAACTATACTGGATTATTTATATTCCTGAGTTACGGCAATGATCAGATTATGTTTTTCATTTTATTATTATTGTTTCTTAAATTTAGAAAAATATCCCTTATGTAAATATTTGATTACGTCAAACTATGAGCAATAACTTTTGATTTCATAGAATCTAATATGTTGTGTAAACTGAGTGTTTACATAATTTTAAATAATGATGATACATATGGGAAAATCCATATTATAGCAAATAATATCTTTAGATAGAAACAATTATAATAACATTGAAAATAATAACAATTCTTTTGGGAACGAAAATGATACACTGCCATGAAGCAAACAAACATGGTAGGTGGGTTGAGGATCATCAAAAAATGTAAATTTTCGACACATGTTGAAAATTTCGCCCAAACGTTTTGTCGTCACAATCATAATACAGTTGGGAAAACAGGATGCTGAGTAATATATTTTTGTCGTTGACAAATTGTGTTTCTGTTTACATATTGCAACTTCATATTTATCTTTTATGTAAGCAGTCATCAGCAATCATTTAAGTAGTAACCAAGAAGTAACATGTTTGCACAAAATATATTGAAAATAGAAAGACATAAACTGATATTGCTTTTGTTAGATTGCTGAATTATCTAATTGGCATGCAGCGAACTAAAACTTCCATTTAGGATATTAAAATAATGTAAATGAGACTTGATGTGCAATTCCCTTCTGTTGTAATGTATCTAATGTACATCAACTTAGAGTAATTCTTTAAAAAAAATGTTTATTTTCATTGGTGAATATTGTAGTTGCAGATCGCACAAGCAATGTAAGAAAAGGAAAACAGAAGTGCGAATAAAGACTGCCATTGTTCATTTATAATCTGCAATATGAATATTAATTGATATGAGGCCGATTGTGGAAAGTTCGCGTCGGAAGTGGACATAGAGGCTCTTTATTCGACATCCAATTATAGTCTGCACGTCGCAAAACCCACCCGTCCAGACGGATACTTCATTCCGACCACGAACCTCGGACACGGAGGTGCGACGCAGTCTAGTCTGGCACTTTCGTATTGTTCTTCAATAAATAACATGTCTATCATTGCCCATTCCGAACGGCAACCACCAATTAAAATAAACGCCATTAAAATTTGGACTAAACAAATACTAAATTCCGTTAGCATAGCAGCAGGATGTGCGCGTAGAACATCCGACTTGCTTAGACTCAAGGACTATGTATGAGATGACATCTTCAGCATGGATAATGAGGGCATGATGATGAAACCGCACACGTCTTCCGACACATCCGGTCTCTTTCAATTCAAATGCGCAACATGCAAATGATGCGTTTTGTTGTGTTCGCATAATGAAAATCAAATAACTACTAAACAGACATACGCATACATAACTAGTAAATGTATACTCACGGGAATCTTGCTGGTCCTCAAAAACTCCAACAGAGCTTCCAATGATCCTAAAGTGGATGCTTGGACATGGACACCGCGCTCCTGTAACTTAATATTGGAGAGAGCAGATTTTAATTCCCTTGCCACCTCTTCCCGGAGTATATCCACTTCGTCCGGTTTATGAGCAATGAACAAATTCAAACCAGCAATGGCCTTTTCCAATTCTTTAGCTGCTATTTTCACACCCTGGGCAGCCTTCACTTCTTTATACTCAATATACGCATTCTGTAAAACAAAAATATATTTAAATATAATCTAAATAAAAAATATTTTTATTGAAACATACCTTAACTCTCAATTCCTTCATAGGTTGAGGCATAAGCAAAGATCTGATTTGTGTAACTATGGGTCCATCGGTACCAGCCAATAGCATAGTATCACCTTCTCTCAATGTACCATTTATTAAAATAACGTCAATTGTGGTACCTAAGCCAGAAATGGCTTTAACTTCCAAAACGGTAGCCTGAAGTTCATCAGAGTACATCAAACGTTTTGCCAACATATTCTGTGATGATTCAACAATTAATGCCAGCAAATTTCCCATACCTAATAAATTTTGGGTTTAGTAAACGTTCATCAATAAAATAATTAGATCTTACCTTCTCCAGTTACTGCACTAGTAGGTACTAAACTAACATAACTTCTAACATCTGGATTTTCATAAAATAGGGCTGCATTCAGACCCTGTTCAGCAAACTGTACTATTACAGCGTTTGTCCTTTGCTCAAATTCAACTTGAGTATTTGGAGCTTGACCTTTAATGATATCTCTGACATCTTTCCTGTTCATTGTCTGCCAATCGTACAACCGATCGATTTTGTTTAAAGCCACAATGAAAGGTGTCTTTCTATTTTTCAACAAATTCAAGGATTCAATAGTTTGCGGTTCCAGACCGTGCATAATATCGACTACGAGGATGGCAATATCGCATAAAGATGAACCTCTGCTTCTCAAATTGCTGAAAGACTCGTGACCAGGTGTGTCGATGATCAATAAACCTGGGATTTTTAGTGTCATCTCAGAAGCCTATATAACAAACAAAAAAACATATTTATGTTTTCATTTCATAAAATTAAATAATTATGTACTACAATTATAGGCAACCAAATATACGAGATTACAAATGCTCATAACATAGGATAGTGAAGCTTTATATTTATGGTTATTATTTGAAAAGTAAGATTCTTACCCCTTTGACATTTTTTATGTTCTCAATGATATTTTCAATTGGTACATTTGTGGCACCAATCTGTTGAGTAATTCCACCGGCCTCACCATCCTGAACATTAGTTCTTCTAAGTTTATCCAAAATCTTGGTTTTCCCTGTATCTACGTGCCCAAGAACACATACAACAGCAGCACGTAAATTATCGACAGATTTAGTTTTTTCCGCTTCTTTTTTCCTTTCCTAAAATTTAAAATATAAATTTATGTATTCTTTGTTGTTAACTAGCAGCAATTACTTCAATACGAGCGATAGCTTTGTCGCGACGTTTTTCAGCATCATTGCGACGATCTGTCTCATCTTCGGAGTCATCAGAATCATCGTCGTCGTCATCATCATCAGAATCATCTTCTTCACTGTCATCACTTGTTTCATCCTTCTTCGATTGAGTTGAATCTTTCTTTGCGGTAGTTTTAGCATCAACCGTTTCTAATAATGTATTAGAATAATGAAATATAAATATAAAACATTGGTACAAATAAGCACATACCTATAGGTGCAGAAACTTCCTCACTTTCTTCTTCTTCTGAACTTTCAGCATCCCAGGTATCCTTAACATCATCATCAGACTTTGGTTCCTCGACAGGTTTTTCAACTATTTCAGTCTCGGCCGGCTTATCCTCTACTTTCGGTTCTACATTTTTGATTTCTGGCAATTTGAATAAATTATGTAAACATTGCATTATTATTCGCTAGTAAATATGTTACCTTTGTCTTCACTGCGTTGATGTTTAAATTTACTTTTCTTGAAGGATGCTCTAGGTTTCTTTTCGCCGATATCCGGCAAATCAATACCTTGAGCTTTCCTTGCATCAATTAGAGCTTGAGCTCTGGCGCGATCAGCCTTTTGTTTAGGTGTTAATAACTTTCCTTCTGCCTTTAACCGTTCACGCCGCTCCTTGTCCTTCTTTTTCTTTTTGTCTTTGCGTTCCTGTTCCAATCTCAAAGCTTCCAAACGTGCTTCTTCTGCTTCCTCCTCTCTCTTTATTCTTTCTTCTTCTTCACGCAAGGCTCGTTCCTCTTCCTCGCGCAATTTCTTGAGAGCTTCTTGCATGGCAGCAATTGTTTTTTTGCCAGGACCTAAAAATATAAACACATTAATAACATATTTCAGAGCATTATTAAAATTGAAGTATACCTTTCTTGGCATCTTTAGCATCCTTTTCTTCATCCTTTGCACCCTTCTTCTTCTTTTTCTTCTTACTGTCCTTGTCTATTTTATCATCTTCATCTACTTTTTCTTCAATAGGTTCAGCCGTTTCTTCTACAACTTTTGCATCTTCCACAACCTCCGGTTTATCTTCAGAATCATCCTTTTTGGATTCCTTCTTAGCAGCTTGCTTCTTCAACTTTTCTCTCTCTTTCTTTTCCTTTTTCTTTTGAGCAGCAGTCTTAACAGTGCCTGTTCCAATTTCTTCATCATCCTTCTCAGCTGATTGCTCTTTTTCAGCTGGTTCTGATGCAGGAGTTTCTTTACTTTTATTTTTTTTTGCTTTCTCTGGCAGTGGTGTATCTTCTTCAGGTTTCGGTTCAACCTTCACACCTTCAGAAAAATATTTATGAAAATTAATAAAAAAATAAAATAAATTGTTCTAGTTTTCAAATTAGATTAAACCTTTTTGAAAATTTCTACTAAAAATTAAATAAAAATACATACCAGAATATTCTAATTCCAATTCTGCTAAAGCCTTTTCAATATCATCATCACTTTCATTCTTCTTTCGTTTAGCCTTCTTTCCCTTTTTCCCTTCTTTAGTCCGCTCATCACTATTGCCACCTTTACTTTTGTTTTTTTTCACAGGTTTTTCACTATCACTATCATCTTCTGGTGGCGGAGGCTGTGAAACATCCGAGTCAGAATCTACTTCTAAGCAAGCGAAACCTTTCTGGACTTTCTTAACTGGAACTTTAACTTCCTCCTCATCGTCTTCAGAGTCAGAGGCAACTTTCTTTTCCTTTTTCTTGTTAACTTTCTTCTTAGGTTTATCACTTTCGTCCACCGTATCTGGTTGCCTACGTAACACATAATAAATTAGAAAGTAGTTATTGGACTGCTTCCCATATGGTTTAAAAAATCAACATAACCTGAAACTTACTTATTTGCCTTGGTTTTCACATTGTCCTCAACCTCATCGTTGCCGATATCAATATCGGATTCGCTGAAAATAGAATGGAAAATTTAATTTACACGTAGAGTACAAGTATGGAACGTATGCAACAGTATGAAACATTTCAGACTTACCTTTCGTCTCCCTTCTTTCCTTTACGACCTTTTTTCGCTTTACCCATGTTTCTAGACTATTTGTGTTCCCTAAATTCGTTTCTCCGTTTATTGTACTTATCATAAGTAGATTTTGTTGACTATTTCGTGATTTCCTTTACGCAATATCGTTGTTATCTGACATGCTAAAATGAAAGGTTAAGGAGTGAAATTTGCAGTGGTACCGGTTTAACATGAACTAATGCAAACAGTACTACCAAACTACTAATTATCGTAAACTAAGCGGGATATTTAAATAAACTCGTAACTTAAAGGCCAGATGTAAAGTGTAACAATAAAGGACAGTCAACTTGTTCGATTTTAAAAACAAATTTTCTACTTAAAATGTTATCATTATTAAATAACAAATTATTAAACTAGACCTATATCGTGTATAGTTGGTAGCATATACAAAGGTATTAAAAATATACATATAAATATAAATCGTTAAATAATGATTTAATTTTATGTTTATGAATCAATCAGTAATTATTTAGATATTAATATTTGAAATTTGCGATAAATAATTTATTAAAGATTATTATTAAATATTCAAATAAATTTGTTATTTTTGATTGAGTAGAAAGATTGTGGTCAATAGCCTTTTGTATGTATATGTATTAAAATTTTTGTTTATTAATATAATTATTTTTGACAAAAATTAATTTCTTTTCTACATACCTAAAAGTTTAAAACATATTTTTGATGTATTGTAAAATATTTAATTTCACTCGTTTATCTATAATTTGCTTACGAGATTATTAACAAATTGGTTGATGCGTTTATGTAACTTTTAGTTTGATTTTAATTAAGTTGTTTTATTGGTCTTGAGCAAACAATTGTGTAAAATTCACTACTATTACTAAATAGTAATGAATTTTATTGTATGAATTTAAAATTGCAAAATAGTAAAATATTCAGAAATTTATATTTAATTATTGAATAATATATGTAAAGAAATAAAATAAGAGGAATAATTTGGAAATATTGTCATATAATACTGTAATTTCACGAGAATAAGAATGTGATAAATAGTATTTCCAACAGCAGATTATTGAAATGTTTATTTATTTATAGCGCTTTATTTACACGCACAACATTCCATTTCGGTTGAAGCGTTCCAGAAGGGTGGTTTGAGAGGCAGAAGCAAATATCTATCGCCAACACCCTAGAATTGATGGATAAACAACGATTAACGGCGACTATATTTTTAATCCAAATACTGTCGCTATTTGCTAATGAGATTTAAAAAAATAATTTCAATTCCTATTTTTACTTGGCACTGCGTGTGTTGTTTATAGTATAGGGAAGTTTCCTCGCAATTGGATAACAAGAAAATTCATTAAGAAGCTGGGAGATTTCGCTCGATGAGGCCAAGTTCTCGAAACAGTAATTTAGAAGATTTTCCAGGAGATTAGCGGTGATGATGATCATCGCATGGCCGAAACGCTCTTCCCACTCGATAGATTCTCGGAGGGTTGAATTTACGGACGCACGCACGTCAGCAACGGACGAAACGAATAAAGTATAACGCGAAGAGATGAAGGAATAATGGGGTAGAAAGAGAAAGCGTCTTCCGTATCCGGCGGGTGCAGATCCTGCGACGCTCGGCGTCTGTTTTTCGGCGTCGTCCTCCTTGTTGTTGGCGTTCGCTTGCAGCGGCGTCTTTCGGATTATCATCGGCGTCGAAGCCGCGTCTAGAGAGTCAGTTGGAGTCAGTTGTCGACCTCCCGTGATCACGCGCGCACACGAACATCCACCAACCCCTATTTTGCGATACGCGACTGTTTATCCACAACCACCCACCTTTGAGCGCGCCAAATTCAAACAAATCCAACAACAATATATATATAAAAAAAATTATATATATCGTCTTTATCCGGTTCCTCGCAGAATCCAGCTTCCGGTGTGTGTCTTTTTGAGCTAGCTCACTGGATAGAATACGGAGGAAATCACGAGCTATTGCCGCGAAACGCGGCAAAAAAGTAAAGGTAATTTCTTCGAACCATTTGATATGTTTTCCAATGACGATCGCGCGATTCAATTTAGTTTGAATTGTACGAGGATGGAATTATTCAGCGTTCAGTAGGGAAATTGGGATTCTCACCTAGTTGTAATCCAGACAATTATCCACTCGCAATAATTATTTCAATAAATTACCAGATAACGCTTTGCACGTAGCTCGATTACAATTTACAATTATGTTAACGAATTCATTAACGTTAATTTGCTGAAATAAAATTAAACTGAATTGTTAATTTCCAGAATAATCAGTACTAATTCGATTATTTATTGCATATTCGACTAATAATCAATTTTTATTTAATTTGTACAAAATTAATAAATAAATTTTCAAATAATGGCAACAGAAAGGAAGCAAGAAAATACGAAACTTATATTAAGATATTTCGTAAAAACAACATTGTTGTATGTACTTTATGCAATTACATAATCACTACCATATGTATTATTATTATTATTAAGTTGTGGTAAATATTATTAGTTTTGGAAAGTTTTCTATAAATGTGTTTGCATATAGAATACATTTGATGAAATTATTTGCTACGATTGAAATTGCAAAAGAATTTCAATATTGAATGTACTTGCGATGAGATTAGTTTTGTAAATAAAAATGTTGAGACATTTTAAAGTAGTTTACTATATCTGAATTGATTGAATAATAGCAATTAAATATTTACCTAAATTTCTTATATTACTCTTAAATTATTATAATTCAATAATTTTATAGACTTAAGAATATTGAATGCTTTCAATTTGTAGAGAAATCTCTTCGATTTACACTTCGGATTTATTTTGGGTCGTGCCCAAATGGTCGAGCGAGCAAACCTGAGCACTTCTGCTGCCATTAATATTTACCGCCAATATTTACGTTCCCATCCGCATAATTTATACGCAGAGATAATGGTGCACAATCCGTTTCGGACTTCGGATTTGAATATCGTATGTTGTTGGGTTGACATCCATTTGTTGCGGTCGTGTTGCAGTTTTTAAATTATAGATCCATCACAGTGCGACCGAACTCTGATGTAATTGTATTCTAAAATGAATGAGCGATTCCAGACCAATTTACTCTATAAAAATGTCACAGCAAATCACCCACTTCATCTGCATTGGCAATTATTACAATCATTTCCCATTCTGTTCGAAAACACGGCTGTTCCCATCGAAACGTTTTGTAGGTCACAAATTTGTATGGAATTATCAATATTTTCTAAAATTTAATTACAAACAACACATCTGCCAAAAGCTTTAATGCTTTACTCATTAGTCGTTGTTTTTAGTAGTAATTGTTGTATAACTATGGTAAATTAAAATAAATGTAAATTTATATGAAAAGTCACATTGATAACATAAAACAGATACAGAAAACGATATATTTTTCTTAAGAATTCTACACATGGCACATTGCAAAGTATTACCCACTGACCCAGTTCGTTCTAATTAAAAGAGAAACATAATAATGCCAGATAGAAGTAATTTAATTAAAAGTAATAAATTCGATGCGAACAGGACTGGTTTGGGCTTACTTTGAAAACAAACAAATAAACCACCGTCCTCGCTGTTTCGTTTATGTTAAATGAAAATTTATATTTCGCACGGAAAATAATCCTACTCGCAAAACCGAATTCGCGTTACGAATAATAATAATAATGAAATATACGCGTGCACAAAAAATTGCAATACATCAAGTTCAATTTTTTTTCATATTCATGTTTTAAAAACACAAAGAAGATAAATTGACATTTTACAGACGCGTTACGGAAAATACAGTAAAATTTCTTTTCTAATAAGGCAATAGATTTAGTTTTGAATTCAATGACATCAATTAATTTTAGAAATCATTCCAAATTGAGAAATTTTATTTAAATTTATTAATTCAGTTATCAGATTTTGTCATCTGGAATGAAGCGAAAACTGATTGATTCAATTAGTTAATTCGTGATTTTAGGAAGAACACTGTTTCTTCTGTTATTGATCAATAGGACGGGCGGGCTGGAGTGAAATTTGATAAAACATGATTGGATTTGCGGAGGAGCGTCAAGTTTGGAATGAAACGTTTCTCTGATTTTTACCAGCGATGTTCACTGGGAAACTCGTAAAAGCAAACTTTTGCAACTTAAAATAACAATTAAATGCAATATACGGACGGATTTATAGTGACGATAAAATTAATTCAAGTGAATAATCGATTATGCAAGAACAATATTATTGTTTGGAATATACGTTTAATTTGGAAACAATGGCAGTCATTGCCATAACATAACATAAATAATATTAGGAACGATAAATTACGATTGGAATTTCGACTGAATCAGATTATTTCACGCGTTCCAGTTGAAATCATTATTTATTTGTAATTCATTATTCGAAACTTTGCGTTACAAGTATTTTATATGTATAAATAATATTATAAATAACAGAAATGTATTTATTCGAATTATTTTTAATCTAAATTGAATCTAAATCTCCTTCATCTCATTACAAACTTAACTTGGATATACAAATTAAACAGTTAGAAATCTCTTTAGTTTCAAGAATTTCCAGGAAATAACATGGAAAATTTTGTATTTTTTTTTCTTAATTATAAATATTGTTGATAATATACATGATTTGGAAAGTTTTTTTTATAGAAACTGTTTAAAAATCATGAGCATAAGCATCTTTATTTATTGCGATGTTAAATAGCAAAAGTTTACTATTTTCATCATAAACTTTTAATACTGAAAAGGAAATAAAACTTTTAAGTCATGAATTCAGTTGGGCTCTTCGATACAGCAAGCGCCACACGTATAAAGAATGAAATTGAGTTTTACTTTTTCCCCGGATGCAATATTTGAAGACGCCCGGCGCATCCACGCAACTCGAACGAAACAAATCGCAGCTTTCATTAACGCCTCCTACGATCCGTTCCTCAATGAATATGGATTTTCACAACCCTATTTCGACTTTTCCAAACTAACTATTTATTATTCTTTGCATTCTTCCCTTCTTTTTTTCTTACACCCCCCCATCGCTTCCCATTCACAGCTTGTACGTCGGTCCGAAAATTAAGTGGCTCGAAAGTCGATACCGAACCCTACGCATTCCGCTACCGAAATGTAAATGCGTTTCAAAAAGAAAAGAAAAGGAAAATTTTTCGGTATTGAATTATTCAAAGGAGCAATGTTTAT